TATATATATTTTTTTTTTTAATTCAGAAAAGTTTACATTAAACCAAAATTTTGCAAAAATTTAGTGAATTTTTGTTAGGAACATTCACTAGAAAAAGCCTACTCAGTTAATTTAAAATCAAAAACATACAAATTATGTATAAATATAGAAAACAATAAAAATTGTATTTTAATTTAAAATGAACTTTCTAAACAAGTTGAATAACCTTACAGATAGACCGTTATCAATCTTAACAGAAAGCAAAACAAATGAGTGCGTTGCAGGCGGGCTTTACCGACTGCAGAATACTCTCTCAGAATTCAAACGCTGCTAAAACCATTTTCGATTTGCCACGCCCCCAATATATAATATATCACGCATATCTTTTTGAACTTTTGTTTTCAATTTTTCCACCCTGTATCATTCATATCGACAGATGCACAAAACCAAAATAATCATTTCACTTTTATGAATGAGTATAGCAATAATAAATGCCCAAGCCCTAAGTCATAAAATGCAGCTTTAAAATTTTCATTCTCATTTTCCTTCCCATTCTTCTGAGCATATTTTATTAGCTTCACTTAAGAACAAATTTAATTTCAGTAGTAGTGAATTTTTTTTTGTATTTATGTAAAAAAAATAATAAATAGGCAAATAGAAAAAATGTGAAAAGATTTTGTTGTGGGCACATTGAAAAATACTTGAATTCATTTCGCTAGCCCACGGGCATTTTCGTGGAGCTGCCAATTTGGCATAACTTGGCCAACTTTATGTATACTAAAGCAGCTGAGGGTCAGCACAGGGATGTCCCTATTTTTTTTCTTTCTCTCTCTCTCTCTCTCTCTCTCTCTCTCTCTCTCTGTTTATGCTCATGTGTTGGCGTATTTGTTATTTCTTTCGTTTTCGGCTTTTTCTTCATTTTTTATATTTTTTGTAGTCCTGCTGTTTGCGTTGGGCATTAATGCTGCCAACGTGCTGCGGCTTGCCTATTTGATTTTGATTTTCATTTGATTTTATTTGACTTGGCTTTGGCTTTGCTTTATTTTCGTTCTTGTTTATGCAAAAATATTTTTTTTGCCAACTTTAAGCCGGGCCTCGAGAAAAAAGCTATTTGAAGTGGAATTTCTCCAAACATTTGAGTGAATAGCAAAAATATTATAGTGAATTTGTATATTGCTGCTGCCTGGGTAAACAATCGAACTGACGTTGTTTACCTTTTGAAAACTTAAAATGTAATTAACTACAGCTAAAGCATTAAGATTTATCCTTCATTACACAAATTTATACATACGCCTATACATACATATATACGACTTTTGTCTGCTGTTTAATTAAATTGAATGTCTGGCTGCCAATTTTGTGGCACGCAATTTCATGTTTAATTTTGCATGTGGAAATTTTCATTAAATCATTTTTGCTGCACACAAATGAAACGAAGCGAAAGTCTTCAAAAGCTGCTCAAATTTCCAGCAGCCTATTAAAAAGTCAATCAGTGATAAATAACGCATATATGTACATACTTATATGTATATACATTTATGCAACTGCAGAAAATACTATAAAAGGCTAGAAAATACTCTATACTGTGTATAGGGGAAAAAATAAAAAATATTGTATTATTTTTGGGTGGAAATAGTGCAGTTTTTTTTAAATATTTAAATTAT